GTTGGTTGGTGGCACAGAATGACTTGATTCTCCCTCAGGCATGTTGTTATGGTTTTGTGTGTGTGTGTGTGTGTGTGTGTGTGTGTGTGTGTGTGTGTGTGTGTGTGTGTGTGTGTGTGTGTGTGTGTGTGTGTGTGTGTGTGTGTGTGTGTGTGTGTGTGTGTGGTAGGTTCTCTCACTCTAACGGAGGGGGATTCTTGAGGTATTATCTGACGATGCCTCTGAGGACAAACAAAAAAAAAAAAAACGAGAGAGAGAGAGAGAGAGAGAGAGAGAGAGAGAGAGAGAGAGAGAGAGAGAGAGAGAGAGAGAGAGAGAGAGAGAGAGAGAGAGAGAGAGAGAGAGAGAGAGGAGAGAGAGAGAGAGAGAGAGAGAGAGAGAGAGAGAGAGAGAGAGAGAGAGAGAGAGAGAGAGAGAGAGAGAGAGTCATTGTGTTGAGATCTAAAGGAAGGTGGTATACGGTAGATGGGTGGAGGCTACAGTAGATATGGGATGAGTACAGTAGCAAGTGGGTGTTGTTACGCCGCTGTAACACACACGTCATCCTCCACGCCACTACTTGACTCACATCCTCAAAAGTCACATAAGTTAATTTTTACCTCAACTGAAGATGTTGTGAGAAAACGACACTTCACCTCACTTACGTCACGACACAAAGATGGCGGCGGCGAAAGTAGAGTTGATGTTATTGGATTACAGTGAAACCTCCATATAACGGACTCCTCTCTATATATAATCCGTGAGATGGGGGTTTCACATCTAACGGACCCTCCATATAACGAACTATTCACCTCTATATAAGTCGTTAGATGGAAGTTTCACATCTAACGGACCCTCCATATAACGGACTCCTCTCTTTATATAATTCGTTAGATGGAAGTTTCACATCTAACGGACCCTCCATATAACGTACTATTCATCTCTATACAAGTCGTTAGGTGGAGGTTTCACTTCAACTCGTATGCTCAGTCTTCGTGTCTCTGTGACGTGCAAAAATATAGTTTTTTTTCTCTTGCTCGGGATGATGGTAGTTACGAGGTGATTTATTGTTAGTTAAATATAGTTACAATTACGGAAACCGGAAATATACATTATCTTGTTAGGAGCCGTTTGGACTGACTAATATACAGTATATCTTCAAGGTATAGTTCAGTAACTGTTCATGAAGGTTTAGTATTGTAGAGTATGATGAAACACTTCAGTATGGACTTGGCTTCAGTTGTCCTGTTGTATGACGCGGGAACAATGATAAAGATTAGCCTTGACGAAGGATTTCTCTCTCTCTCTCTCTCTCTCTCTCTCTCTCTCTCTCTCTCTCTTTCTCTCTCTCTCTCTGGCACAACTAAAGTCTCCTTGTGTTGGGACCACCTCTCGTCATAAGCAATTAGTTGAGGATTGGGTGTCCACGACGATTTTCATTGGTTACTATTGTATCGTGTGGCTGTTGTGTGTGTGGGGGGGGGGTGGTGTTGTGGTTGTGTGTGTGTGTGGGGGTGGAAAGGTGGCTGTGTGTGTGTGTGTGAGGGGTGGTGTTGGTGGTTGTGTGTGTGTGTAGGGGTGGTGTTGGTGGCTGTGTGTGTGTAGGGGTGGTGTTGTATGTGTGTGTGTGTGGGGGGGTGGCTGTGTGTGTGTGGGGGTGGTGTGGTGGTTGTGTGTGTGTGTGGAGGGGTGGTGTGGTGGTTGTGTGTGTGTGTAGGGGTGGTGGTGTTGTGGTTGTGTGTGTGTGGGGGGGTGGTGTTTGGTTGTGTGTGTGTGTGGGGGGTGGTGTGTGGTTGTGTGTGTGTGGGGGGTGGTGTTGTGGTTGTGTGTGTGGGGGGGGGGTGCGGTTGTGTGTGTGTGGGGGTGGTGGTGGTGTGTGTGTGTGGGGGTGGTGGCGGTTGTGTGTGGGGGGGTGGGCTGTTGTGGTGTGTGGGGGTGGTGTGGCTGTGTGTGTGTGGGGGGAGGGGGTTGTGTGTGTGTGTGGGGGGGGTGTTGTGGTTGTGTGTGTGTGTGGGGGGTGGGTGTTGTTGTGTGTGTGGGGGTGGCTGTTGTGTGTGTGGGGGGGGGGTGGTGTTGTGGTTGTGTGTGTGTGGGGGGTGGTGTTGGTGGTTGTGTGTGTGTGTGGGGGGTGTGGTTGTGTGTGTGTGTGGAGGTGGTGTTGTGCTGTGTGTGTAGGGGTGGTGCGGTGGTGTGTGGGGGGAGGGGGAGATGGTGAGGCTGTTGTGAAGGCGGGGGGAGAGAGAAGGAAAGAGTGTGGGTCGAGATAACTTGAGTCTTTATCGTTGACTGGTAGAGTAGGGCCTCTCGGCTGGCCTACCACCACCAGGTCGTGTTCACTCAGCCCTGAGTTTAGATCACCCCGCCTCGCCAGTGTGTCTTTTTCCAGTTCTGACTTGTTACACACCAGACACTAAATAAGTGGTACTCGGATGGTACTCTGCGTGGTACTTCTGGCTGGTACTCGGATGGTACTCACTATACTATACATTAGTGAGGTATTAAGTATGCATATGGTGCCAGTATATACATCCACACGTTGATATAGGACAGCTACTGATCTACACACGGGTGAATCAAGAAAGGTTTACAGAAGGGAGTCTTCTGTTATTCCGCCTCTGAGTCTTTTTATACATTTATGATTCAATTATAAACTTTTTAACTCCAACTATTGACCCTCAGACACAAACTATGTAAATCGAATTTTGACTCCACCTGGAGTGTGTGTGTGTGTGGGTGTGTGTGTGTGTGTGTGTGTGTGTGTGTGTGTGTGTGTGTGTGTGGATATTAGTGATTCAAATAAAAGGAATTATGTAAATAAAGAGTTAAATTGAAAAACTCGGGAGGTCGGTTGTAATCCAAGACTCGGCCAGTTAGTTTTGTTTCCACGTTTAATGAAAACTGGCGGGACGTATCCTGAGAGTTTTGTTATAACGAGTTGGCCGAGTTTGTCTGGTGTTGAGTGAGAGGGAGGATAAAGTGTGCGTAGTTATGCTAGTACATGTTGCTTCCTCCCTTTATTAAAACCAGATCCAGACTTACCTCTCTTGTCTAATTTCTGTTCCACTTGAATTTGGCTTATGTATGTATGTATGTTTGTATGTATGTATGTATGTATGTATGTATGTATGTATGTATGTATGTATGTATGTATGTATGTATGTATGTATGTATGCCTTGCTAGTGTTCTTATGTACTTTGATTGAGGTTGAAGTTCCATCATATATATTTTCTCGTTTTCAATCTATTTTTAGTTTGTAATCACTCAGCAGGTGTGTGTGTGTGGGGGGGGGGTCCAGCTCCAGTGGTGTGTTGTGTGCTGAGGAGCGGCGTTGGTGGTCGATGGCTGGGCGCTGCTGTTCGCTTGTATACGTCAGTGATTCGTAGTGTTACTCAGAGTAAGACTGTAATTAACTATCTGGAGGGATGTGTGAATTAGACTTGTTAATGTGGCCGCCGAGGGAGAGGCGCCAACGCACGCACGCACGCACGCACAGTTTCAATATGTTTAAGAGAAGGAAAATACTTGGGCTCCGAATTTTCTTGATCTAATTTTTTTTAACTTGTTGTGAGGAAGAAAAATGAGGAAAGTCTTGAGGGAAAATGACAATTATAGGAAAACGTGCCGGGAAGGTAAGGGGGGGGAGGTGTGTTGAGGTAAGGAGGATGTGAAAGGGAGGGAAGGGAAGGGTGAAGAGTACTAAGTTAAGGATGGAGGGTATTGAGGAAGGATGTGAGGGCAGGAAGAAAGATGGTCGTAGGATATAAGAGGCGTATCCTAACCTAACCTCGCCTAACTAAACGGATGGTAACCTAACCTAACCCAAGTCTAATCCAGCCTCAGGTAAGCTAGTCCGCTGTGCCGTGCTCTTCCCGCTATCAGTGTACCCCTCTGCACACCCACCGCCCGGGAACTGTGCCTTCAACTGCCTATTGGACCACCAGTGTGTCTTTCTCTCCACGTGAGGAAGACAGTCTTGTTTATATCAATACTCACGGTTCATCATCATATACGCGACTGACTGACCGGGCGCTTGACGACCTCCGAGCACTCAGGAAACACGTGTTGTTATTATTATTATTATTATTATTATTATTATTATTATTATTATTATTATTATTATTATACTCAGTTTGGTTACTTACTGGAGAACAGTGTTGTGATTAGTAGTAGTAGTAGTGGTGTGTGTGTGTTGGGTAGTGGTGTGCGCATTGCGGCTCCCGACAAGGCGAGTGACCTTCCTTGCGTACTCTGTGTGTGTGATAACTCTCTCTTTTTTTACTGTATGTGTGTATGTCTGTCAAGTATGTAAGTATATGTATGTGTTCCTACAATCCCTGAGTGCTGTCTTTAAGAAGCTGGTGGCAGCTGTGTTGGCTAGCGACTCATTCCAGCGCGGTACTGTGTGTGTGTGTGTGTGTGCCACCAACTTGACACATTAAGAGAAGCTGTTACACACACACACACACACACACACCAATTTATGGAATCTACTTCATAGAAGCGTTTAGGCGTTTCCTTAGGTTAAGTTTCGCTACGTCACGGAGTGTTATGATTTGATTTGAACTTAGTAATTCCTTCAACAGGTTAAGACGCCATGACCCTCACAAACATGATATTTGATATTTGAAACGTTGATGATAAACAGCGGTTGATTGATTGTCACTGTCCGTGATTGGTGACGTTAACAGCAACATATTACGGACGTGTTCGTGAACATGAACTTAATATTAAACTGGTGTGTTTACTAAAGATAATTATATAGAAAAAATGAAAGCTTTCCCCGGTTGATAATTGGGAGCAGCTCGCCAGGTGTGTTGAAGAGACCAGGTGTGTGAGGGCCGCCGCCATGGGATGCCCACATGAGAGAAACAGGTGATAGTGAGGGCCCACGGTGCCTGTTGACAAGGGGTTGGCGGCGTGGGCACCCTGGCAGGCAGTAGTAAGAGTAATAGTGGAGGAGGTGGGCGTGGTGGTGGTGGGCGTGGTACCATGGGTGGACCATCATGTTGGTGGTGGGCGGCTCGGTAGCAGGACCATGTTCAGTGAGCTGTGTCGGGAGACTCTCAAGAGGTCGGTCATCGAGGGCATCCACGCCTTCCAGGACCTACTGCACTCCAGGACACGTGAGTATTGTGGCCTCCCTGTCTCCCTACCTCCTTACTTCCCTGCCTCCATGCCTCCCTGCCTCCTTACCTCTCTGCCTCCCTACCTCCTTACTTCCCTGCCTCCCTACCTCCTTACCTCCCTGCCTCCCTACCTCCTTACTTCCCTGCCTCCTTACTTCCCTGCCTCCCTACCTCCTTACTTCCATGCCTCCCTGCCTCCCTGCCTCCCACCTCCTCCGTCCCTCACCTCCTTACTCCCTGCCTCACCTCCCCTGGCCTCCCACCTCCCATCTCCATGCCTCCCCGCCTCCTCACCCCCCCTGCCTCCCCACCCCTTACTCCCCTGCTTCCCCACCTCCTGCCTCCCCACCTCCCCACTTCCCCTGGCCTCCCCACCTCCCCTGGCCTCCCCACCCCACAGTTCCCACCCCCTCCTGGCCCCCACCCTTTTTACACTCCCCTGCCTCCCACCTCTTACTTCCCCTGCCTCCCCACCTCCTTGCACTCCCTGCCTCCCCACCTCCTCCGCCTCCCTACCTCCCCCACTCCCCACCTCCCCACTCCCACTCCCCACCTCCTACCTCCACCTGCATTCCCTCACTCCCTGCCTCCCCCAATCCTTACTCTCTCCTGCCCCCACCTCCCCATTTCCTGGCCCCCACCTCCCCACCTCCATGCCTCCTGCCTCCACTCTGCCTCCCTACTCCTTACCTCCCCACTCCTTCACTCCTCCCCCACTCCCTTACTCCCCTGCCTCCCCTACTCCTTTACCTCCCCACTTCCTTACCTCTGCCTCCCTACTCCTTACCTCCCTGTCTCCCCTACCTCCCCCTCTTCCTCCCCCATCTTCCCTCCTCCCTATCCTCACTACTTCTTCCCTTTAACCAACCCCCCTCCTTCCCTCCTCTCCATCCCTCCCACTCTCCTACCACCTCTTTCTCCCCCTTCCCTCTCTCTCCCTCTCTCCCCTTCACTTCTCCCCTTTGATCATCTCCCCACCTTGACATTCGGGCCTCCCCGGACCTTCAACACTCCCACCAAATACGTGAATATTACTTCTCCCTCCTCCCCCCACCCCTAGACTACTCACCCCATTGTACTCTCCCCTTTTCACCCCTTTTCCCCCTTCCTCCTCCTCCTTTGACAGCGTACCTAAGTCCTTCCTATGGCATAAGGACTCGGGTGGTACCATAGTCGCTAATGGTGACTTAAGTATGTCTGTAGGAGAGGAGACCCACACCCTTTCCCTCCCAACCCTCCCTCCCACATTTCCTCACCCCCCCCCACTATATGAAGTAGTTAAAACGCAACATTAAATTCCGGTGAAAAATTTTTCGTAAGAGTTTTTAATTTTTTTTTTGTGGTTGTCAAAGGCACCGTCTCGGGTGTTCCTTGTGTTACTCTGTGTATATTTACTTCATCTAAATTTCTCTTTAAACTCCTAAAACTTGATGGTTTAGCTCAGGGTGTAGTGGTGGAGGGTGGGTAAGGGTGTAGTAGTGATGGGTGAAGGTGTAGTGGTGGGTGGGTGAGGGTGTAGTAGTGGGTGTCAGTACGTGTATATAGAGAACGGTATTGCGTCCTGGCTCATCAATCACCTGGCAGGCGTCTGGCGTCTACCGTCTACCCTCTGAATGCCCACCTCCCTGATACCCATCCCCAACCCTACTCATCCCCACCTTACCCATTCCCACCCTACCCATCCCCACCCTACCCATCCCCACCCTACCCATCCCCACCCCACCCTCAATTCTTAGTGACAGTTTCCTCAGCGCCAAACACTGTATCGTGTAGTCTTTTGTGCCAGTAATGTATTCCCTTGTCTCGGCCTTCTTCCTCCGACTCTATTCCCCCCCACAGTTACCGCCATGCCTCTATTTTTCCTTTCCCTCCTCTAACCCTGGCGTGTGTATGTGTACTGCTTCTTGTGTAACCTGTTTAGTGTTGATGTTGTCAGTTGTGGTGTTGATGTTGTCAGTTGGTGATGTTGTTGTTGTGGTGTTAATACTTCTTGTTGTTTGTTTTGTGGTGGGGTATTGTCTTAACTGGTTCGGTAACAATGTGTCTTGGATCAGCCAACACAAGTACAGATACAAACACAGATAGAGACAAGTGAAGAAACAAGAACAAACACACAACAGAAACACTACTCAGGGTATAAGTAATGAAAAGTAATATACTTTCTCTTTATACATTTTTAAGTGGCAATGGGAGGGGGGGGGGCAGAGTTAAGTAAACACGGGTTAGACCTCATATCGTGCTGCTCACCCGCTGGAAATATACTGTAGGCGAGGTGAGGAGTTTTGTGAAGACGTAGAGAAACAAACAAGAGTCTCTCTCTCTCTCTCTCTCGACATAAACAAAGACTGGGGCGGCACGGATGTTTGAAGGTCGTGTGAGAGAGAGAGAGAGAGAGAGAGAGAGAGAGAGAGAGAGAGAGAGAGAGAGTCGAAGAATTTGAGGAAGAGAATAGAAAAATAGAATAGAAAGAATTAGAGAGAGAAAGAGAGAGAGTTTCCCCTTATTGGTGTGTCCAAACAGCTTAGTTACAAAACATTTATTATTTTACTGTAATAATCCCCGGTGCCCCGACACGTGAGGGAAGGAGGGAGGATGTAGTGGAGGGAGACTGTGTTATATCTGCCACCAGAACACACTAGATCTAGTCAGGTAGGGGCTGAGAGGGATGTTGGGGGTGGTGAGAGGGGTGCTGGGGGACTAAGAGGGGTGTTGGGGGCTGAGAGGGGTGTTGGAGGCTGAGGAGGGTTGTTGGGGGCCTGAGAGGGGTGCTGGGGGACTAAGAGGGGTTGTTGGGGGGCTGAGAGGGGTGTTTGGGGACTGAGATGGGTGTTGGGGGGCTGAGACGGGGGTTTGAGGGGCTGAATCAACTTCGATATTAATGTTTGTCCTTGACCATTTTTTTTATTTTGTTTTAGAGTAAATAATTTTGTTCAAATCTTTAGCAGTAACTCTTCTGTCTGAACATTTTTGGGGTCCTTGGATAGACAGTTTACAGCTTGTATTTTTTCCTCTTGTTGTGTTAGCAGTTTACTTTATATACCGCCAGAACAAAATGACAAATTGAAATAGAAAAAGAGGGTTTGTTTTGGTCAGCATGAGACAGGCTGAGCCACTCACCTGTACAGTATAGCGCTAGCCGGAGCTCTGACAGTTATATATATAATGGTGTGTAAACTTCAGCTGGTGTGTTTATATCGTTCTGAGCACACACACACACACGAGGCCGCAACACCCAAGACTGACGCAAGAATGTGAGAACTGGTACACTAAACCCTAGCTGTGTGTGTGTGTGTGTGTGTGTGTGTGTGTGTGTGTGTGTGTGTGTGTGTGTGTGTGTGTAACGATGCTTGAGAGAGAGAGAGAAGGGGTGCACAACTGAGGGGCAGCACATGTGGAGTGAGTGGAGGAACATTAAGCATTCATGTGGCGCACTATGACATTGTCTCCCGTCTCCTCCCTCCCTCCCCGTCACTGTCTCACACACACCCACGCTGGAAGGAAGGTCTCTCACGTTCGTTCTTTGTGTCTTCATTGTCTCTCTCCTCTCCCACAGTCGCGCGCCAGTAAATCTCTCTCTCTCTCAGTTGCCACACACACACACACAGCTAGGGTTTTGTGTACCAGTTCTCACATTCTTGCGTGGGTCTTGTGTTGGTGTGGCCTCGTGTGTGTGTGTGTGTGTGTGTGTGTGTGTGTGTGTGTGTGTGTGTGTGAGAGAGAGAGAGTCTTAAACTTCTGGTGTTATTGTTTGGTCCACCTACACCCTTAACCTGGCCCACAAGCACCTGCACGCCTCATTGATTCACTTAACACATGACCGCCTCACATCACCACCCACCCAACCTCCTTCCTTTCTAATGTTATGCACACCAACACCGTCCGTCACTCCTGGCTGTAGGGGGGGGGGGGTTAATAAAAGCAGGGTTTGTTTTCCTCCTGTGATGATGATTATTACCGACGGAGGAGGAGCGTGAGTGTAGGGCGGCCTATGTGGAGTATATATAGTTAACAGTTGTATGTCATTCTCTACGTCTCCCACTAACTGGCTCTCCTCCACTTCTCCCACTAACTGGTTCTCCTCCACGTCTCCCACTAACTGGTTCTCCTCCACGTCTCCCACTAACTGGTTCTCCTCCACTTCTCCTTCTCTCACTTATACCTTCTCCCTCAGCCCCAAGTATCAGGTCAACAGTAATGGCGGCATGAATCGAGTAAACATGACGCGGCGGATATTTTGAGAAGTGCTCCAAGATGTTTCATAAAGATCACTATAATAATTTTGGTGGTCAGACCCGCCGCCATCTTGAGGTTCAGGACGAGAAGGTCGAGGGTGACATGATCGACGTTTATTTATTTATTTATTTTGACGTCTTTTTGTATGTTAGTTGATTTACTTTTTACGTCCATGGGAGGTGTGTGTGGGGGGGTGGTGGGGTGTGGGGGGGTGGTGGGGGTGTGGGTAGGGGGTGGGTGGGGGTGTGGGTGGGGGGGTGGTATGGCATTGTTACCACGTGTGTTATGTTGTGAAGGGTAGATGGATGTTCCCATGTTAAAGTTGTGTTATAAAGGCTAATTTGACTTAAACTGTTCAGTGTATTGTGATGATAAAAAAAGCCGAGTAATTTCTGTGTTCTGACTTTGCCTTTGTTTTTGTTATTCTATTTTTGGTCAGTGTTGTCAAGGATGTTCATTGGATTTGTTTGTTTTCTGTTTTATTAGAGTTTTGTTCCAATCCTTTTGCTGGTTCAACTGTGTGTAAACAGGGATCGTCTCGTTCTCCAGTGCTCCTTGGTATTACGTTTTAGTAAGGTTGGGTCCGTGTTCCTGAGACTCAAGTGTGTTTTAGAAGGACCTGCGTTGGCTTTCCTCAGCACAGATTGTGTTTTAAAAAGGAGGCAGAAACGCAGGTGTTACAAAGTGACATTGAAGTGTCCAGCCAGCCAGTGTCCTCCACCCACCCTCCCTCCCTCCCTCCCGCATCCTCCTCCTACTTTCCC